TGGATCTTCCTGCTGACACTTTCGTAGCTGTTCTTCCTTCCACTCTTCCGCTGGTGTTATTGTCGTTAGACGGACGTCTATAATGTCCTCTTTTCCCTCAGCTTTTGAGCAGTGTTTACATTCCAGGCTACATGGTCGGCGGGACATGGCATCAGCATTACCGTGGACACTTCCCTTGCGGTGCTCAATAGCGAAGTCATAACTTTGCAGTCTCTCAATCCACCGAGCTAGCTGCCCTTCTGGATTCTTAAACTGTAGTAGCCACTTCAGCGCTGCATGGTCCGTTCGAACTCGGAAACGTTGCCCATAGAGGTACTTGTGGAAATGTTTGACGCAGTCCACCAACGCTAGTAGTTCTCTCCGAGTTACGCAGTAGTTCCTCTCTGGTTTTCCAATCGACCGGCTATAGTAGGCAACTACCTTCTCCTGCCCATCAATTACCTGCGACAGTACGCCTCCTATGGCATAACCACTAGCATCCGTATCCAAAATAAACGTTGCACCTGGAACGGGATACGCTAGCATAGGTGCAGTACATAGTCGTTCCTTCAGAGCCTGGAAAGCCTCCTCCTGCTCCTTGTTCCACTCGAAGGCTCTATTTTTCATAGTGAGCTCGTGGAGGCTATTAGCAACGCTGGCGAAATTCGGAACAAATCGGCGGTAGTAGGTGCATAGCCCAAGAAAACTTCGTAGTTCGTGCAGGTTCCTAGGTCTTGGCCAATCCTTTACTGCTTCTATCTTTTCCTTCGCAGTACAGATGCCCTCCGTTGTCACCTTGTGCCCTAAGTAGTTCACCTCCTTCCTGAACAGTGAGCACTTTTTAGGACTTAGCTTCAGACCAGCGCCAGCTATCCTCTGGAAAACTTCTTCCAAATTGTTCAGGTGTTCCTCAAAGCTTTTACCCAATACGATAATGTCGTCTAGATACACCAAACATGTTTTCCAATGCAGTCCTTTGAGCACATGGTCCATAAGTCGTTCAAAAGTGGCAGGAGCGTTGCATAATCCAAAGGGCATCACCGTGAAGTGCCACAGACCGTCTCCAACGCTGAAAGCTGTCTTCTCCTTATCCTCGTCACTTACCTCCACTTGCCAATAACCGCTCTTAAGGTCGAGTGTTGAGAACCACTTTGTTCCAGTCAACGAGTCCAGAGTGTCATCGATCCTGGGAAGAGGATAGCTGTCCTTTTTCGTCACATCGTTTAGTTTCCGGTAGTCTACGCAGAACCGCATTTGACCATCCTTCTTCTTCACAAGTACTACCGGCGAACTCCATGGACTCGCTGATGGTTCAATCACACCACTCTCGCTCATTTCGTTTATTATTTGGCTAACAGTTTCACGTTTGGCAAGTGGAACACTCCGAGGAGCTTGACGGATTGGCCTTGCATCGCCAGTATCAATGCGATGTTTCACAACGTTAGTCCTGCCTGGTTTGTCGCCATCCTTGTCGAATATGTTGCAGTATCTTCGGAGAAGTTCCTTAGCCTTGTGCTGGTATTTTTCTTCCAACCCTTCCGTCCATGCATTAATGTCTTCCGCAATGTCATTCTCGCCAATGGAATCGCTTTCAGGTAACTTTTCGCAGTTGAAGATTGCCTCTACCTCTCGACATTGCCCCAGTACAGTTCCTCTTCGGAGTTTGACTGGTGACTTGAACTCATTGAGCACTCGAACTGGGATGCGTCCATCCTTTTGCGTCTTAGCCAAGGTTTTACCAATAAGTACGTCCGGTGTAGAATTTTCTGTTGCTTCAACAACCCACAATTTGTTTGTCCCACAATCTCCATCAATCTTTGCCCACACAACTGCTTCTGACTTCGGTGGAATCTGCTCGCTTTCCTCTAAGATTACTCGCTTGCTGCTGTACGGACCATCATACCCAAACCGAAGGGGCACTTCCATGTTGTTATACGTCATAATCCTGTTCTTCATGTTGATCTTCATACCTTGATCAAGCATGAAGTCTAATCCAATGATGACTTCATCCATAATCGCCGCGACTATGAACTTGTGTAACACCGTCACATTCCCTATTGCGACTTTGCATGTTACCTCCCCTACAACTTGGGTGTCCTCACCAGTTGCTGTCCTCAACCTTGCTCCAGGTAATGGCCTTACCTCTTTAGTGACCAAATCAGATCGAATGATGGAATGTGATGCGCCCGTATCCACAGTTAGTACTCGCTCATGTCCGTCCACATATCCACCAACAGTAACGTTGCTCGCTTTTCTGCCAATTCGCGAGACGGAGATTATGGGGCATTCAATTGCTGGAGCCAGCGCGCGCCCCTTGCTGCTGGCTCGTTTTAGTTTAACGACTGATTGGAGTTGGTTTCGTCTCCTTCAGCCCTGCGTTTGCGTCCTGCTGAATTGTTGTGACCATTGGAACTTGCGCTGCAATCGCGGGCGAAGTGGCCCGACTTTCCACATTTAAAACATTTGCCAGAACCATGCTTTTTCTCGCCCAGCAGTTGGATAATCTTCTTCAACATTTCATTTGTCTCTTCCGGTGCTTCTACTTCCACACGATGTGCTTTGTAGGCTGGTCTACTTAGGAGCGCCGCCGTTTCACGCGTCTGAGCATACGAGACGGTTTCAGCAAATGTTGCCTTTGGATTCGCGTACGTCTCTCGCTTGGTATACATGTCCCGCATTCCGTTGATGAACCTCTGGATTTTTACTCTTTCGAGGTGCTCACCAGATGCATCTCCAATTGCCAAATGAGCCAACCTTTCGATCTCGGAAGCGAATTCCTGTAAAGTCTCGTTGGATTTCTGGCAGCGATTCTCCAGCTCCATCTGGTAAATCTGTCTCCTGTGCTCGCTACCATAACGTCTTTCCACTGCACCCATTAACGCATCGTAACTGTTCCTTTCACAATCAGGAATAGTCTGCAAGATTTCCGCTGCAGGTCCTTTTAATGCAACGAACAGTGCAGCGGATTTATCCTCCATGCTCCAGTGATTTGCTGTAGCTGTCTTCTCAAACTAGAGCTTAAAGACTTGGAAAGGAATCGTGCCGTCAAAGGATGGAGTCTTTACCTTGGGCGCGCTGGTCGAAGAAGGTGGGCGATTCAACTGCATATCTCGGAGGCGACCTTCCAACTCTTCTACCTTTGCTTCGACTTTCTCCTGAATTAGCTCTTCGATTTTATCTTGTCGTTCCTCGAGTTCCGCGTTATCTTTAAATAAATTCTCCTGTAGCTGAGTAATCTTTTCATCTAGCTGCGATGACATGTACGTTTTCTGTGCTTCCAGCTGCGATGACATGCGTGTTTCCTGCACTTGCAGCTGGGATGAAATCTGTGATGACATCTCTGACATGGCAGCCAATAACGTGTTCATGTCCATAGCTGGTGATGACGACGGAGCCTTTTGCTGTTCTTCAACCTTCCCGGATGTCTGCTGCATATCCTTCGACGAACAAGCGGCCTCATCCTTCTGTTCGTCCTTTGCGGATGTATCGTCGGGTTTACCTTGGAAGTCGTATTTGTCCACGTCGATGCCTTCAGCTTCCATAGCCTCTCGCAACCGGGATAACAATTCCACTTTTCTTCCGGAGGTGGCCAAATTACGCTTTTCCAACTCCTGTTTCAGTTCCTCAATCTTTAAGTCCTGAATTTTTGTCATTTTCGGAAGTTTATCCTCCGGGATTTATTTAACAATCCCACTTCTGACACCAATTGTTACGATTATCTCTCGAAACCTTGAGGGATTTCCCAAATATACTCGGGCTCGTATCGCTGGATTGTTAAATAAATGCTAACGATGACCAAATTGTAGTACAATTAACTTTATTGTACAACAAACAATTTACAATACTTGCTAATACAGTAAAAACACTTTACAATACTTGTTAAAGCAATAACAACGCTTTACTATTTGTTAACACAATTAAACTTATAGCTTGCTTATTCGCCACTCAATTCTCCGCTCACTTTACTTGTAGCTTGCTGACTTGTAACTAACTCACCTCGTGGTGGCGGCGCCCTTATATACCTGCGCTGGCACTTATGGCAACTCTAGAACATTCTGAAGTTTATCGCTCATTCTCTTTCTCTCGCTGTTCGCAGTGTTCATCCAACTTGACGTTTCTCTTTGTGGAACATTCTACGTCATTCTTCGAACATTCTGCCTATTTCTCGTTGTTCGCTTTGTGTTGCCGCAGTATTCGCCACCGTATTTTTTTATTGCTTCCGTTTTGTGTTTATGAGGCATTTTTTCATATGTATGGCAGCACTGGCATTTCACTTCAATTGGTGTACAAAGCAAAAGGTGAGGTTAAATTCGGTATTTTTTGCAACTTTAAATGCGAATTACTTTAAAACTATAAGCCTCCGGAGGGTGGGGTCTTCAGATTTAGAATCTGAAAAAGCTCATCTATACTCCCTAATATTTTTTTTTTTTCAAAGCCTGGATCCGTTTTGGAAAATTTTCCCAAAACCTTTTATTATTGAATCATGCCTGCTATGTGACTTTATGATAGCGCCAACTAGTTTTTACTTCTAGAAATGTTCCTTTTTTCTGCTATGGAGGCAACATGAGTTTCAGTTTGTTTACAAATAAAACATAAACAAAGTCAGCTGGTGTGTCTTCTTCTTCCGGTTTTTGCAAGTAATGGCTAAATTCCTGTTCGGTTACTTTTTTGCTTTTTCATCTCTTTGGGAGAGAACTTTCGCTTACTCTCTTGATTTTGATTGCTGGCTGCATGATTCAATAATATTAGTGGCTGCGTTTCTTTATACATTCCGGATAATCCCATTTCACAGCCGGAATAAACAGAATGCGTTTGAAATATACGTTAACATATCATCAGGAACGTTCTAAAGAATAAGTAAACAAAAAAGTTTATTCCAAACGTTCAGAATGAATAAAGAAATACAGCCAGTATTATTGAATCATGTGTTGGCTGGTGTTGGCTAATTTTGTTATCGAACGCAACTTATTTTGGATAATTTTCGCATTGACAGCTGTTTTGGCTGTAAACAGCTGTTTACATTTGTCTTGTCGCGCACGGTTTACAAAAAAATTCTTCCAAATAATTTAGATTTCTTGATTTACAAAAGTGTTTACAATATTTGAAGCGCCCTCCCCAAAGCAAGAGGAAACGCTAATACATCGATGCACGTAACGTGACAGGGCGATAGCAGCAGGAGCGATTCGAAGCCGCAGGAAGCTCAAGATAAACTCATGCCAATGGATCAAACGCCAATACAGCAGACGCTGACTCGTAAAGAACCCGAATTTATTGACCATGTAAGTTGAGGATCAGCATTGTCTTGCCTCTGCTAACCGTTATATCTATAGGATATTCCTTTGCAGTCGCTCCTTGCACCCACCTACATACGTTACTCCAACAACTACATAATCGATTTTATTGAAAACACGCCCTTGGTCTTCCCAAATAAAACTGTGGTGCGTGTGCCCGGCAACAATGTGAGCACACATACCACGGCTGCCACTACGGCAGTCAGGGCAGGAAGCAGCTACAATGTCAAAGTGTCTGATTCAGTTTCGCTTACACCCGGTTTGCATTTTCCCAGCTTAATTTTCCACTACCGGCCCACACCAAATGATGTGGCAGTAAGTACGGTGGACGGCGTTGCGGAAGCAACATTGAATGCATTAAATTCACCAACGCAACCAGCAGCGCCTCTACCTTTAGTTATGGGAGGTAGTTCTAGTTGGAGCAACAACAGCGCAGCAACCTTTAGCAACAGCAAACTTGGGCAATATATGGCTTTAAATGGCGATTTTCTCGCCGGTGGTGGTAGCAAGAATTACTGCGATGACACGGAGGGTGTAAACCAGGATGGTGAGGATGTTGCTGTGCAACAATTTCTGCTAGCCGATGCTAATGTGAGTTTGGATGATGCGGCCGATCTGATGAACGAGAGTGATGTGTTGTATGCCCGTCATGTATCCAACGCACGCAAAGTGCTGCCGCATAAAAAACGTATTTCGCGCAAGCTACGAGTGTCGCTGAGCGGAGCAGAGAATGTGCTATCACCGCCTGTAGGCGACGTGCACAAATTGCCGGAGGAAGTACGGCTGAACGCGGCAGTATATAGTTGTGAGATTTGCGGCCATACAGCAGACTCCCAGTTGCACTTTTTTGCGCATCTGAAGCAGCATTATGAGCCCACGACGCCGAATACGATATTGGCAGCGATGAAGACGTCACTAGAGGATCTGGAGCCGCAGAAAATGTGTGCGATAGATAAGAAAGTGAGCGGAGGCGTAGTGTTATCAAGAATAATATTGCAGAGCAGTGGTGGAATGCAAGGATTGAATGCTGAGTGGAATTAAGTATGCGCCTAAAAGTATGCGATAGCTGGAACACAAACGAATGTGTATGTTGCCTTTCAGCACTTTTAGTTTGCGCGTCTCCTGATTGGATTTGACATCTCGCAGTCCTCTGCATCTTACTACATACTTACTACACCGATAATTTTAATTTCCTATTTTCCTGGTTTACATCAAAAGCGTCTTTTTTTCCACATAGTCCCCCAACGAAAACGTGGACCATGTTTTCAATGACGTGCACTTGAGCTTTCCTGACTTTTCGAGCGTTGACGAGGATACCCCAATGCAGCATGTCATGGATTCGAGTGACGATGGCAATGAAATGAAAATGTTAAACGCCACGGGTATGAGTAAATGTATGAGCTATGTAGCGCAGGCAACATCCCCACCATTAAAGCGCACTGTCGAGGTGGAATTTAGCGATAGTGAAGATATGCTGGAGGGCATACGGAATGTGGTGGATAAGGTATCGATCGAAGACACCTGCGATGCACTTGATTTGATTACATCCAATAGCATGCGCGGTTCTTGGTAATACATGCATATAACCTTCATAGGCAGCTATTAAACCAGCAGTATGATTTGCTTACAGGTTCACCAACGAACACTTTGGCAGCCTTACTTACAAAAATAAACCTTTTAATGATGTGAACTTCGCTGAACCTCTGCTTCCCATGCCTATGATGGCTGGCAGTTCATTGTCAAGAAGTACACCTCCTAAGGAAATGTCGCCTCTACCGCCTGCAGAGAAATTACTCTCATACCAGAAGTCAGATAGGAGAAGAGAAAAAATACAGCTGGC